AGGACGAAAGTTCGCCACACAACATGAAGTTAAGACAGTGCACCAGATGCCCACCCCTCCTCCCCCGTACAACCTCGCGCCGCTCTCCGCCGGAAACTATATAGTAGTATAATTTTATTCCTGGAATTAAGTACTCCGCCACGCTGGCCACGTAAAACGGGGTATGGGTCTCTCCGCTTCTCCGCAGCACATGTTCATGTTCTTCTCACTCAGGATAACTTTCGGCCCGGTGGTGTAGTATCATGGGCCCCAAAGCCCTATTCTAATTATGAAGACACCAAAACTAGGGAATAGAGTTTGGGGGATCAGGGTTCGTTGACACACCTGTAGCTCCGTGGAACAGTCGAGCCCGACAGCTCAAGGCATCTCTTTCCTCCAAGGGTCATGGGACATAGTACACAGGTTTAAGCGTAGGGAAGCTTTCATGGACTTCAGTTGGGGGTCACTGTGGATTATGGCCTGTTTGAGGCCCCATGTACTACCCTCAGTCCTCAGCCTTCAATGCAAAAATTACAGAGAAGCCGGCGTACTTGCCGTAGCTACGCAGGGTCCTTCCTGAGGATCAGGAGACCCAGCAGGTTCATGTAAGCAGGGTAGTGACAGGGGCAACCCCAATGAAGGGTACTTTTGTCTATGTAAGCCCAGAAGGCTAAGTCGAAAACTCTCGAGAGGAAAATAGGTGGAAGTTGCTGTCCGGGCCTCAAGATCTAAGCGAGAAGCTTGGGTCGAAAGTCAAAACTCAAGGGCCCAAACCCTGCGCTTACAATTTCTGTACGCCCGAAGCCCTAAACCCTTGGCCTAAATCCGCCGCAAACCTAAAACCTACTCCTAAACCTAACCCCAGACCCTAAACCTTCACCGACCCTAAACCCTACGCCCTAAGTACAGCCCCGCGAGCCCTTAGTAGTCATAGTAGTAATCATAGCACTAATGCCAAAAATGGTAATAATAGGGCCGCAGTAGTGGCAATAAAAGCAATAATGGCAATGCTAGCGCTAGCACTGAAATGGCTACTGGTACCAATAATAGCAATAAAGCACCTACAAACCGCACAACCCTACAACCCTGCGACCTTTACTTCAACCCTGAACCGCTTCACCCAATAACCCTACAACCCCCAGTCCCTAAACCCCTATAGAACCCTACAAACGTTATGTAGAAACCCTAAACCCTACAACCCCTGAGTTACATAACCCCTATACTTAAACCCCTAACCCTAAACCGCCCAACCCCTAAATACTACACCCTACAAGCCCTAAACCGCCCAACCCCTAAAGACTACAAGCCCTAAACCCTAAACCCAAAACCCAAAACCCTAAACCCTAAACCCTGAACCCTAAACTACAAGCCCAAAGCCCCATCACTGCAGGCCTTGAGCAGCTCAAGCTCGAGAACCCGCAGGCGGCTGCCGGATTCACGGCCGTGGCAGGCTCTCAAACAGGGTTAGGGTTTAGGGGTTATAGGGTTTAGGGTTTAGGGTTTAGGGTTTAGGGTTTAGGGTTTAGGGTTTGTTGGGTTTTCTAAGGTTCTATAGGGGTTTCGGGTTTTGCACGGGGTCGCAGCTTTCTAGGGTTCCATATGGGTTCAGGGCTTGTAGGGTTTAGGCAGGCTTTTTACATAGGTTCTCGAAGGTTCTGGTTTTGGGGTCAGGTGTTATAGGGTTATGGCCCATATAAGGGTTTACGGTTTGTAGGGTGCATAGGGTTTCGGGGGGTCTATTGGAGGTTTAGGGGTTATAGGAATACAGGGTTATAGGGTTTTGTAGGGTGTAGTGTTGGTTCGGTTAACTAGGGGCTTTTAAGAAGGTTTGCATCGGGTTTACAAACGTTTCACATTGGCTTCGCATAGGATTGTGAAAACGCGTTTCATGGGGTCTATTGATGTTTCATCGGGTTTTGGCCGCTTTCGGGGGTCTAAACCTTTACACCATGCATCGTAAGGCCCTCCGATCCCTCGTTTTAAATGGCCCCTACACCCTTCACCCCCCAACGTCACACTAAACCCCTTAAGCCCTTGAGTTGTTTGGGTTTTAAGGTTAAGGGCTTTTGCTGCGTGGTCAGCAGCTGAAAGCAGCGAGTTCCCAGTGCTCGCCGTAGCCTCAAAGATCCATGGGCTTAGGGCATAATTAGGGTTTAGTTCGGGGTTATCTAGGGTTTAATCATGGTTTAGTTCGGGTTTAATGAGGGTTTGATTAGGTTTTAGTCAGGGTTTAGTTCCGGCTTAGAATGTAGGGTTTATGCCCGGAGCTATCCCAATCCTTCTTAATTCCCTCAACCGTAGCCCCAAGCCGTAAACCCTAAACCGTTTTCAAGCCGTAAACCCTCAACCGTTTTAACCCCGTCTTGAAACTTTCCCTCATAAGGACACGACAAACCGTGAAACAAAAACCATGACACCCTTTGATAAACAAAATCCGTGCATACAAACGAACCGGTGTGTGCCCTTCTAGACCCAAACCCTCAGCCCTAAACCCTAAACCCTAAACCCCTAAACCCGAAGCCGGGTGTTGAGGCCTTTCCTTGGGAGAGTACACCGCCTTAGCGGCGGCGGGCACGCCGGACGCCTCAGCTCTGTGACACTTCGGTTGGTCCAGGATTCGAGTTTTCCACGGTTTAGGGTTTAGGGTTTGTAGGGTTCAGAGGTTTAGGGTTTAGGGTTTGGAGGTTCAGGGTTTAGGGTTTAGAGGTGTAGGGTTTAGGGTTTAGGGGTTTGGGGTTTAGGGTTTCTATAAGAATTTCTACAGGGTAAGGTTTCCTGTAAGGGTTTCTGGATTTTGTCAGTAAACAGGGTTGTAGCAAGTAGTGGGCCTTTCCTTCTTATGGGTGCTTGAATTAAGTTCGGAATTCACAAGAATCCAATTCTCTTCTTCAGCGGTGCGGCTCTGGGGTAGAATTTGCTCGTCTTTTCTTTTCTTTGTTTGGGTTCTG